GTTCCAGCAAAGCAGTCTTAAAAGAATTGATACGGTCAATCTCTATTTTTGCTTCTCTTGTGTAAATAATCAGGCCATGTTTAATGCAAACAATTTAGTTTTACTGTGATTATCCTTGGAAAAAAGAAATGGGGATAACTGTAGAGAGAAAAACTATGTTTACACCTTTGTCTGTATTAGATTCTGATCCTGTTAATTGTCTTTAAAGTTTTCTTATATACCTTTAAACTGGACTGGATCCTGAATTCTTCTCTCAAATATTTGACTACAACTCCCCAAACTAACATTTCTAATTTCTGCCACACTTTTGAATTGGAATCACGAAGAACAAAGACTGCCCTTGAACCTCCTTGGAAGGGACTATATTGAGTCCTCCTCACCACCCAGATGGCAGCCAAACTTCAGGAACTTAGATCTTAAAAGTAGGCTCTACCTGACATCTGGTCCTATGCAAACACTGGAGACCTCCAAATCAAACGGACTAGGAAGAAAACTAGCTAACTTTGAGGTAGACTGCTTCCCCCCAAGACTTCATACTTTAAACATGAAACCTTCTCTTCTCTTTCTTCCTTTTACTCTGGCATTGGCCTGGAAAGATAACACCATCACCCATATCTCCTAGGCCATTGCTAAGGGTGGTAACCTTTCAGCTTGCTGGATTTGTCATCAAAAACTCTGATCTGTCCATGATTCTAGAACCCCCCTGGTCCATCTACCTATCTCTGGCTAATAACCCCAAACCCAGAGAACTTTGTGTCTAGGCTCCATGCAAAGAAAAGGACTCAAGGCAAGGGTAACCAGAATAAAACTGCCAGTGTGGCCTACAGACTCTTAAAATTTTACTGGCCTCTATGGCTGTCACCTTTCCAGTCCTGGGCAACAGATTCAAACAGGAATTACCAGGAGGCATTCATGACTCAGGACTCGCTTCCTTTGGCAGGGCCATACATACCTGGTTAGGAGTAAATGTAAATGAGGCTATGATTGGGAACCTCTCCTTAACTCTTTAAAGTGCTGTGGAATCATCTGCTAAAATGATAGCTGTCCAACACAAATCCTTAGACTCTCTGGCCATAGCCCTTGATTATCTTTTAGCTGAGCAAGGAGGTGTCTATGCTGTGGCCAACACCACCTGCTGTACCTGAATTAACACTTCTGGAGAAGTTGAAACTCAGTTAGATAAGATCGCTGAGCAAGCCACTTGGCTTAAACAGGTGACTCCTTCAACAAAGTCTTTCTTTGACGTATTTGAGTAAGGGTTTGGGTCTTGGGGACCATGGCTCCAAAGTGCACTCCATACACTGTTAATTATCCTGCTTATAATAATTATAATAATTTCCCTAGTGTGTTGTAGTCTCTCAAAAGCTTTAAATGCATGTTCACAGTCACTAACCACCAAGCAAATGATCTCCCTAATAGTGGAACATCAGAAAAGGAATGAAGAAAATGACTGACTTAAAGATCATGAACCTGAAGTTGTGACGTGTGAATATCAGAGAGACTAAGCAAAAAAAATCATGACTTATAAATACCACACAAAGGATCAACAAAAGCTGCAGGAACCACAGAGCAGTAGCTGAATGTCTCCTTACATTTTGATCACATCCCTCAGTTAAGCTGAGAGTCTGATCAAAGCGGGTGATTGTTAAAAAGGAAACAACAGGCCCAAAATGGAGTCACTTGTGCTAAGCCCCGCATCAGCAAACCAAGACTTAATACCTAACCTAACTGCAGTTTCAGCCTCTCCCAGGAATGCGACCTTTAACCAGTCATCCTGGAATTACCAGGTCAGCACTAGTGAGGAAATCCACCCAGTAGGCTGCTTCCATTCCCCTTAGAAGGGCGAGCTTGCTGAAACAATGGATTCTTTGCTAATAATTTCATTTCCCACCCCCTTTCTGCCTTTAAATACTTTTCCTTTTCTACAGCTCAGCGGAGCTGCTTTCTATTTCCTAGATGGGATGCTGCCTGATTCATGAATCACTGAATAAAGCCAATTTGATCTTTAAATTTACCCGGTTGGATATTTTTTTTTTAACAAAAGTGACTACTAAAAACTTTTAAATTACATATGTGGCTTGCACAATTTTTCTGAGACTGAATACACAAACAATGACCAGACTATATTTGACAATAGAACTCTGATCCACAAACTCTGCAGCAACTGGCCCAAAAAGGTCAGGACTTGGTCGATGAGTCCAACTTCCCTGTTTGTTGTACCCACTCAAGTACTCAGAAAACAGTGATAGATACGAAATCCCTGAGCCAGCCCTGGTGGTCTAGTGGTAAAATTTGGCACTCTCACCACCATGGCCTGGGTCTGTTTCCCAGTCATGGAACCACACCACTCATCTATCAGTTGTCATACTGTGGCGGCAGCTCACATAGAGAACTAAAAACCAACAACTAGGATACACAACCATGCACTGAAGCTTAAAAAAAAAAAAGAAATCCCTTCTTCCTTTTGTGTTCTATGTTCCAAGAAAGGGCTAACTATAAAGGACCACCTTGCTGTTGCATATTCCAACATAAGACCCACCTCTGCCCATCCTCAATGACTCCTTGTTTTATAAAACCTCCAATTTTAACCCTCTTCTTTGAGATGTTCATGAATGAACATTCCTATTGCAACAACCTGAATAAAATCCTGTCCTTCACTGGGCATTTTGTCTTTCACCTGTCGCCACCCACTATCCAACCACTTAAACTAGAGCCACATTCCTTTCTGTTTGTTATGAGAACACCCCACTGCTGATAGCAATTTCTGAGTTATATACAGTAAGGCCAGCAGCTGTAACAAAGAGACCTCAGAATGCAGAGTTCATAGAAAAATCCAGGTTGTCTCTAACACAAGGTCATTCTAGTCATCACCATCTCACTATCAGGAAGGAAAGAACACCTCCAGGGCCAAATCTTTCCTCCTAAGAAATTGAAGTGGAAGTGCCAGACATCTCATTCACTCACAGCTCATTGATAAGAACCTAATCACACAGCCCTACCTAGCTGCACAGAAGGCTGAAAGATGTAGTCCCTAGCTGGGCAACCAGCCTCAGCTACACCTCTGGAGCTAGCAAATGCACTTCTTCCCTGGGCAACCTATCTACAGCTATGGAAGAAAGAGGGAACAGATTTTTTTCAGTCTCAATGAAAAGATAAAAGAAGAAAAGAGAATCTTTAGGATAACGGTGGTAGGAGATCCTAGGAAGACAGTTTTGCCACCAGAAGTAGAAGGCAACAAGTCCATATTGGAATAGGTCAAAAGGCCTGGAAAGATGTCCCAGAAAATTAAGTATACAGAATACTTGATGTGTCTCATTGTCTACAGCAGAGATCTAGGCAATTGATGGAAGGTGTGCATTATCCATTCAGCAACGAATTATTGAGTGCATATGAGATGCTGGGCACTCTTCTCGCTGCCAGGGAATGAAACAGCATACAAATACCAAAATCACTGCTTCAAGGATCTTACAATCTAGTGGAAATTCTGGTGCAGTCAGGGTTGAATTAATAGTAAGTACATAGAAAACTAGCAAACGTTTAAAAGAAACATTTACCCCACCCTGGAGGCAACTACATTCAACTCTTTCAACTGATTCTTTCAGTATTTCTGCATTTCTAAATTAACATGATTACCTTGCCACTCTTATCTTTCCTTTTTTTCCCCTTTGCATTACGTGTTGACTTCTCAGATGAAAGATGAGGATTTTTCTGTTTTGATCTTCTTTGTTCTCATCACATGTATGAATCCTTCTCATACCCCTAGCCTCCTAATAAAGTTAAACTATAATGTTGGTTGGATCAACATTCAAATTTTACCATTATTATGACTTTGTGAATACTATTAATAGCCAAGTCATATAATAAATTGTGATTATTTTAATTTTTCTATACATGTTTTGTTTTCCTAGGCTTCGAACACTTTTCCCTCACAATTTTCCCCTAGCTAACTCTTACTTACCTTTCAAGTCCTAGTGTAAATGTCACATCTTCAGGAAAGCTCAAAGCATACTTCCCCCTTACCCCACACCTCTCCTCAGTAGAATAGATGGTGCTGTTCATTCCCCTCACAGAACTTCACTTTTTCTTACCTGGCACCTATCATGGCTGTAAATGAATAATTATTTAGGAATAAGTCTCCTACTGGACTGTACATTCATGGGGGCAGGGATGGACTCTTCTCTCTTCCTCCCAGTATTTCCAATGCCCTCAATAACTACTTGCAGACAGGGTTACTTAATGCCTTCCTTAAAAAATACAGACTTGGGTAGGGGTGGAAGTGCAGTTAGGGTGACTGGTGGTGGGAAAAAAATCTTGCCATAGAGATATGCCCTCATGCACCATCCCCTGGCCTCTTACATTTTCATAACTACTTAGTTGTCATATCAAAATGTCTTGCCACAGAAAAATTAAAGGGTGAAATTATTCACATTATAAAATAATTACATCTCAGAATGACCACAGTATCTCTTTAAGTAAAATCTGAGCAATTGTTTGTTTATAAATCACTAAATACTGTTCAGAGGGAAAGACCAAAAGCTGAAGTGTTCCTAGCCCTTGCTGAACTGGTGTCCAGCTGCAATTTCACATAAAGCAAATCTGAAATTATGATGATTTAAAAGCAGACATTTTCATGTCTTACATTTAATTTGCATATTAATAGCCACGAAGCTAAAATATGGGATTTCTCCATTCAATACCAGGGAGTTGGCAACCCTCTCAGCTAAGGGAAGGAAGGAATGAACCAAGTTGTGGTAATGCCTTGGATTTGAAACTCAGTTTTCTCAGCTCACCCAAACTCAGAAGAGCCACATGTATAATCCAGTATGCCAATTAATTAATTCACAACGAGAAATATAAATGAAACCTTTTTGCCCTAAAGACGGCCTGAGATCTCAGTTCAGTTCTTGTTCTTCGGCTCCCCACTTTCTAGACTCCAGACCATCCTCCTCCTTTGAACATGCCCTATTTTCAGCTGAGGAGACTGGGGTTTTCTCAGGTACCTTCCAGGCCTAGGGGAAACACGGTTTCGCTGGACATTTTCCAAATTTCCTCATTAAAAGGTCATCGTAGATTTGACCACTTGAATGTGCTGATGCCACCATCTTCATTCTGAGGGTCTCCTCATATCCATGTTGGGCAGGAGCCTCGTCAAAGCCCCTTGGCTGGTTCAGGCTTCCAAACAGACGCAGATCACCATGCGTTTTCGCAGTTCGGAGCCTGCCTCTCAATGAGGAACTGGTCCCTCTACTGCAGTGCCTGTGATGACAGCAAAGGGAGCGTGGGGTCTTTCAAAGTCCCCTTTATCTAAATAGATACGTCCAAGTCACTAGACAGGGTTTCGGGCAGGGCGCCAGAGAAAAGAGTTGTGTAGGGCTCGGGCCTTGCTTGCTCAGCAGAAACCCCCAGGCCCACTGCAACCATGTGTCCTTCTGGCTCCCTTCTGGGCAGGCAGCCCAGCTACCCGGATTTGTAACGATCTTGGCCTGGCCGCCCGACTCTCCCTTATCCCAGGAGAAGAACATCGCGTCTTACAGGGACACAGAGCTCCTCCACGTGAGCTACTGTTCCTGGGGACGCTGGTCGCACCAAGGACAGCCCTTTAGCAAGCATGCATCCTTTGTTCCTCCGCCTACTTAACCAAGCTTCTCTTAGGGGGCGGTTGGGGGTGCACATGTCCGTCCAGCCAGCCGCCACCGGACATTCTCCCTGTAAGAAAGTCCCAATAAATCTGTATGTCTCGTCCGCAGTCTCCCGGTCGTTTCTTGAGTCTCTCGGCAAGATATCCTGCCGCCCTAGCCCAGCTGGGCTTGTGGCAGAACAAGGTGCCACCAGCTAAAAACTGAAAAATCACCAGGAGGAGGTGGGCGGACACCGAAGGCTGCTTCACCCACTACTTTTGCCCAGAGATGACTCCCAGGTCTCCCTGGGCTTGTGCTTTCCGGCTGTTGCGGCCTCCGACCTGGACAAAGCCTTGTTGTGAATAAATAAACCAGACTTTGGGAGTTTCCTCCTTCACGATGGCACAGGGCGACAAACAGCAACACGCCGCCCTTGGCATGCGAAGGCTGCTTCCGCGCGCGACAGCCCCCGCGAGGCCGCGCCTGCCCTCCCCTTTGCCCGACTCCAAGATGGCGGCCGGCCCGCCGCCGCGCCTCGGCCCCGCCCCGCCGCGGCCCGCCCCGGCCGCCGGACCCCCGCCTCCCCGCCTGCCCGCCCGCCCGCGGGGCCGCGCAGCGCGCGCCCGCGCCCCTCCCCGCGCGAGCTCCACCCAGGTCGCAGGCAGCGCGGTCGGCGGCGCCTATTTCCCGCCATTGTGCGAAGTGGAGGCTGGGGGCCCGCACGCGCCGCCTGCCCGTCACCAGCAGCGCCCCGGCTGCCGCCGCCACAGCCGCCGTTCCCGGAGGCGCGCGGAGGCCGGGCGGCCCGCGTCCCGAGGCTCGCCCTGCGTGGGAGGGCGCGGGCGAGGAGCGGCCGAGCCCCCGAGGAGGAGCCGCGGCGCGGGACGCCGGGCCGCGCCGGCCCCGGGCCGTCGGCGAGATGCCCTGCGGGGAGGATTGGCTCAGCCAGCCGCTCGGGATCGTGCAGGGCTTCTTCGGTGAGTGGCGGCGCGGGGGGCGGGCCGGGCTGGCCGCCGAGTTTGCCGAGCCCGGGCCCGGCTCCACGCGGGGCTACCTCGAGGCTCGCGCGGCCGAGACGGTCAGCGGGCCTGCGCCGAGACGCCCGGCCCCGGGCCCGGCCGCAGGTGCCTCCCACCTGCCCGATTCGCGGTTCGCGAGCGGCCGAGGTTATGCCGGGGGAGCCGGCGGCCGGCCGTGATTGACGGCCTCGCTCCCCTGGGTGTCCCCACGCGGGGCCGAGCCGCGGGCGGCCGTAGCCGGAGAGCTCCTTGCCCGTCGGCAGGGCCGGCAGAGATGGGCTGAGGGCACAGCACTTTGCCGATGGGAAGCCTGCAGGGTATTTCCAAACTTCCGGTGTGTCGGGGGAGTGCTCGCTCGCGGCAGAAGTTGGTTCTAACTACTGTTACACACATCCTCTCTTTTCGAGATAAGATTTCGTGTCATCGCTTAATTTTTCTGTTAGGGCGGCTGGAAAACCTGCCTGGTGTACATCTCTTGGTCGGAGCTAGCAAGGAGTGTCGAACTGCTCAGACGAGTTTCTGCCTAGAAAGAGCTTAGAATGCTGCGGACGAGCTTAGTAAATTTTGGTGGCAGTTGTCTTGTTAGTGCTGCTTTTCTGCGAAGGGTACGAAGGAAAATTTAGGTTTCTTTATGGTTAACTGGGCATTTTGACACCCCCTCCCCCATGTCTTTTTGCGTTAGGAGTGGTGGAGGCAAACCCAGCCAGAAATCACCGTGTTAAGATCGTAGCACCTGACTTGTCGGAAGGTAACTTAGAGTTCTGGATTGGCCTTAGCTCGTTTAAAACCTCGTGGGATGTTAGTGAGGACTCCTAAGAAGAAGCTGGATAGTCCCCAGCAGCCAAAACTGATGGCGTAAAATGTATTTCTTGTAGGAGGGGCACACTTAGCAACTCTTTACTCATTTTCCCTATAATTTGAACTAGTTTAATCAATCTGGTTTCCCAGGCTGCGACTAGAGACAGCAAATTAGGAGGCCTGGGTAGGCAGCCGGGTTGTAGCCAATGACACTGACAGCCTGATAAAGAAGAAAAGAAAACCTGTGTTATGTGTTTTTTTTAATCACTATATATCAAGAGTGCTTTGAGAAAGGGGAATATGTCCCTCCACTAAATGCTAGTAATTGATGTTTATAATGAATACTGAAACCTATAATTGATGTCCAAAATAATGGCCCCAAGATATGGAGTGAAGGTTAAATTGAACAGTGGATTTATGAGGGTGCAGACAGATAGATACTTTTTAGGAAAAATCCTTCAAAAGGAAAAAGTTCTGGTGCTTAAAGGGTGAAGTTCCAGTTACTGATATTTAGAAAATTTGTGAGAACTACCCCGTACCCTAATCTTGCTGGATAAATGCAATGATTTTATATTTGATACACATTTGGGTGTATTTGAGTCAGATTTTGTCTCCTAAGTGTATGATCCTAAGGGGGATATCTCCTCATAGTACTGAAAGGGTATAATTTAGATATAAAATATGGGCTTTACAGTATTTTCTAAATTTTGTGAGTTGTTGTGGGGACCCGGACCTTGTTGATATGTTTCCCCCAAAATGTCTTAATCCCATATAGGTTGTGTCTTATAGAGGAGAAACAAATACTGTCTTACAGTCATGGTTTTTTTGTAGAAGATGTTCTGAAGTATAGTATGTATTTTTGCTATATTTTCTATCACTGTGAATATATTGAATATCTTTATAATAACAGCATTACAGGTATGTTTGTGTGAGAAGTATGTCAGGTGTTAAACTCTGTAGACTCTTTGGTTTAATAGGAAATTGTTTTAAATCAATTCTTCCCCCAGGTAGAAAAGTAATGCAAGTCTTTTGTGGTTTATGAGGCCTTTCTTGGCTCCACCCCTCCCTAGCCCTCAGACCTCATCACTGCATTCCCCCTCTTATTGAACCCTTTTTCAGTTCTTTGATTTTGAACCTCGCTTCTAGACCTTCTGCATAGGCTGTTAACTTTGCCAGGTCCCCCCTTCTCATCCCACTTCCACTTTCCTGGCTAAGTCTTACTCTTCCTTTGGGAACCTGAATTAGGTACCCCCTGCTCCATGTCACTACAGGATCCTGTGTGTCCTGGAAATTAGCATGTAAAGCATATCGTCCAAATTACTTGTTTCTTGGGTTCCTTTGCTATCTTTGACTCTGGAAATTCAGGGCCTGTGTCTGCCTTATTCACCAGTATGTCCTCATTCTCTAGAATACGCTTTGCACATTGAAAGTGCTCAATGAACATTTGTTGAACAGAGGCAATGGAAAAACTGATTATCAATCAGAAGTGGTGTAAATTGGGGTGGTTACTGTGACCACAAATCTCAAACTTAGGACAGTCCTGCTAGACCCTATATGGGTTCAGAGCATGTGATCAGACCAGGTATGAGTTAACTTTCACATGCAAATCCTATTCTTCTTGGTTTAGATGAGAAACTTTGAAATTCTCATAGTGGCCAATCATAACTATATGAATCATAATTCATCTTTGTGAACCAGTCTGTTTTTTGAATTTATAACTGCCATATTACAGTTGTTCGTATGTAAATTTTTCCAATAAGCCTTCATAAAATGCCTTTAATGTTTCAGTTCCAGTTTCTAAAAGATTTTATATACAGGACATTGAGGTCCAAAGGCTTAAGATTGAAGACTACTTTATTGGGCTCTATTATGTGCAGAATGCTGTTGGCTCAGTCCCCGCAGTGATTGTTCATTTAGCGACCCATATCAAATTGCTTCCCTTTAACAAAGGCAGGAATCTTGGGGGGAAAAAAGTTTTGTGTGCTTCTGTTTCTTTTAATCATTTTTTATTTAAGAAAAGGAAATTTTCTTTACTTGGATTAATAACTGCTGTTAATTTCAGAGCAAGTGGGAATGGTTTTCAACTCTGATTTCCTTCCCTGTTTTCTCTTTAGACTGTTGCTTGGGTCAAGATCGTTATTTTTGGTTGTATCCCAGGTCCTTTGGTTGTATTGAACAGGACTAGACTAGACCAGCTCGTAGAAAGGCAGTGGTGTGGAGGAGGGCAGGGAGCTCTGTGTGATCACTAGCATTTTAGAATTTAAAGCAATAATAAAATCGACTAAAAGTCCATCTGCTTTTTTGTTGTCCCTGTGATTCTAAACAGATAATTCACCTGCTTTTGTCTGTACCCACTTTAGATCTCTCCTACCAACCTGCCCTTGGTAAGCCACTGAAAAAAAAAATTCTTATAAGGCTGTAGAACCCAAAGGCAGCGAGGTTGCTTGGTATCCCAAGAGGCTGCAGAATGGGATCAGGGACTGGAAAGCCAGCAGGAATCCAAGCAACCTGTCTCAGTTTTTCGCCCTTAGGCTGTATTCTCCTCTGCACAGGAACTTTATCTTTCTCTGCTCCACAGCTCCTAATTTCCCTTGTTGTCAGTTCCAACCCACAGAGTTAGCATCTTTATCTTAATACCGTATTCCAGGGTTAGAGAATCTGATTGGCCCAGCGTGGAGTCAGGGGTCCACTCACAGACCAGTCAGCTATGGCCAGGGCATAGAGTTATGTAGGACAGTCATGACTGTTGAGGCCCACTCCTCAATAGTGGGAGAACTTCTCAGAGAAGAATCAATTGGATGGCCATGGCAAAAGGCATATATATGTACATGTATATGAATTTTTATATTATTGAATAATTTGCACGTGGTTAAAAAAATGATATTAAATGAAGAGTAAAAGGATGCTCTTTTCCCACTGAGGTCACCACTTTTAACTGTTGCTAATTATAGTTTTGTTTTTCATTGAGATGTAACTCACATAACGTAAAATTCACCATTTTAAAATGTACAATTTAGTGGTTCTTATTATATTCACGATGGTCTGCAACCATCACCACTATCATTTCCATCACTCCAAAAAGAAACTCCGTATCTGTTAGCAGTCCCTCCTAATCGCCCCCTCCCCATCCTCTGACAACCACTAATTTACTTCTGTCTATGATTTACCTATTCTGGACCTTTCATATAAATGGGATCATACAACACATGGCCTTTTGTGTCTAGCTTCTTTAACTTAGCATAGTATTTTCAAGATTCATCCATACTGTAGCATGTGTCAGTGCTTGCGTTCCTTTTTATGACCAAAAATAATATTCTGTTGTATTGATATACCACATTCTGTTTACCCATTCATCCACGCGTAGACACTTGAATTGTTTCGACTTTTTGGGTATTGTAAATAGTGCTGCGATAAATATTCATGTACTAGTTTTTGAGTGAATTTATGTTTCCGATTCTCTTGGGAATATACCTAGGAGTGGGGTTGCTGGGTCATATGGTAATTTTATGTTGGAACTCTTTTCCAAAGTAGCTGCACCATTTTACGTTTCTACCAGCAATGCATGAGGGTTCCGGTTTCTCCACATCCTCTCCAACACTTGTTAT